GCTACTAGTAACCCCATCAGAATCTCTACAGAATTCTGTCCTATTGGAGCTACAAAGACTTCTGAGTTATTATTCCACTACACTACAAAACCTTGACCTACTGACTCCACAATGGGATCAGAGTGATCTCCTGCTCAACAACCTCATAGCAGAGCAACTCGATTACGACATCACAGAACAAAAAAATGACCAGAATCAAGTTTGCTTTCACTTAATGAAAAACAGAGACAAACATATGACACAGTATTGCATTTTGTAACCTCTGAGCAAGGATCAATGCTCTTCCTATATGGAAATGGAGGAACGGGCAAGACATTCATATATGATACGTTAACTGCAAAGTTGAGAAGCATGAAGAAAATTGTCTTGGTTGTTGTTTCTTCGGGCATAGCAGCTACGCTATTGCCTGATGCAATAACGACACATTCGAGATTTAAAATACCTCTCGACATCGATAAGGCTTCTACTTCCATGATTAAGAAGGGAACACATCTTGCTCAACTCATCAGGGAAGCATCGCTAATAATTTGGGATGAAGCTCCAATGACACATGGATTCTCTTTCGAGGCGGTGGATAGGACATTTTGCGACATCATGAACTGTCCATTAAGTGGAGATGGGTATAAGCCTTTCGGTGGCAAGTCTGTTCTTCTTGGTGGTGATTTCAGACAAACGTTGCTAGTTGTAGTTGATGGCAGTCATGAAGAAAAGTATCGATTCTTCTCTAACAAAATCTTATCTTTCAAAATATTTCACGGTCTTGCCTTTAACAGTCAATATGTGCATCGACTCAAACCCCAACAACCTACTCACTGTTTATGACGAAAAAGATTTTGCATCTTGGGTTCTAGCTATCGGCGATGGAAGGATCAAACACTCAACAGTTGGCTCATCTGTCTACCCAGATTGAATACGAATTCTAGATAAGTTTATAGTCCCTCATACAGGAAACAAGATTAAAGCAATTACATATATTGTTTATAATGATTTCCATGCTAACTATAAGAATGCCATCTACATCAACAATCGAGCTATTGTGACACCCACAAGTAGCATAGTTTTTGACATTAACTCATATATGTTGGCTAAAGTAAAGGGACAAAGCAGGAAATATTACAGTTTAGATTCGATTGAGGATGACTCCCCCAACATCGCTTCCCTGAAAGAAGAATATCCGACAGAGTTTTTGAACAACTTATCCTTCAATGGAGTGCAAGAGCATGAAATACAGTTGAAAGTATGGACCCCAATCATCCTTCTTCGTAATCTAAACCCCAAAATTGGCCTAACCAATGGGACAAGAATCATGATCACTCATTTGGGTAAAAATGTGATTCGAGGAAAAATCATTGATGGAACGTATGATAAAGAACTCGTTGCCATTCCGACAATCGTACTTAATGTTACAGAATATCCTTGGCCATTTTGTCTTGAAAAGGAGACAGTTCCCGGTCAGGGTAAGCTACGCAATGACAATCAATAAGAGCCAGGGACAAACTTTAGATATAGTTGGAGTTTACCTGCCTAAGCCGGTGTTCAGTCACGACCAACTATATGTAGCAGTTTCGCGAGTACGATCAACTGACGGTCTACATATACGAATTGAGAATGATGAAGATGTTCCGCAAGGATTCACCAGGAATATTGTCTATGAGGAAACATTTGCTGAAATCAGGGACGCAAATGAATCTTACACAAGTAATGACCTATGATAACATACGGCCAAAATTATACCTATTACTTTCATTACTTACATAATTTATTTCTAATGCAGAGAGCGTAAACGATGACCAAGTGTCGTTCTCACAATAACTAGCTTGCATGACAAAGCAAAACAACCTTAACTTTTACACAGGTAAGCATTCCAACTTCACGAACGAACTGGCAAACATCAACAAGCTTGCTTAGTGATCTACTCTTGCCGTGATCAGTACAGATAGTTTATCATCTACTACTCTTCCCATGATCATAATATATTACTGGCTTCACTTCTTCTTGCAGTCTGCATAAATATACAGGCAAAGAGAGCATTAGAGAATCACATACGCACCGACCGTTATAGTAGATGTCAGGATGCCAAGACCATTATCATACATTTTGAATTTTACTTGGACTACTTTCATGATTTACAATAATGTTGTGGACGACTTGCTTTCTACTATGCACGTTAAGTTACTGAATGATATTTGTTGCACACCAATTAAAACAATAAACTATGCATTGAGAAACCTATAAATACTCGCCGCGGAGCGCGGACCATTTTTCTAGTGGAAATTATTGCCCATATCTTTAACATATGTAAGGCATGACATTTCAATATGCAAGCTTGCAAGGGTGTTTTTACCATGAAGGACGAATCTGCATTTGTTATCAGAGCTTGTAGGATATTGATCCAGTCAGGTATGGGAGTATCTGCAAGTACTTGATTTCATTTGTTAAGTCCCTTCCATGGTCATTCTCTAGCTAACTAACACGTGCACTTTTACAGTGCCATTCAAAATTGTAAAAAAAAAAACTTGGCCTTTTCAGAGCTTCGAAAGCATTTTTTTTCTCAGTGTGGAATCAGGCGCAAACATGGAGACCTTGGTAATTTCATAAAATTGTTGGTTCAAATGGTGAGGAGAAGAAGATACACATAAGAGGTATATTAATAATAGTAAGTCGGACTTTTGAGAATGTACATGTGTTGTAGCAAACAACTAAACAAGGCATATAGATGAACAGCCTCTTATTGTTCCATGACGGTGTCAATTCAGTGTGAAACTTCCATAGTAATACAAAGCAAGAACTCCACGGTATGCCTTTTAATATCCCAGGGAAGAGTCACTGACGAAAATATGTGTTTTAACATGCCTGTTGCTTCCCACCACTGATCTTGGTTGAAGATTGAGCTTCACATCAAACATACTCTCTCTAGCTTAGGGTCTGAAGTTCCTCACATTCTCCGTTGTCCTGTTTAACTCCAAAGACATATGTAATCAACACTGCAATCTCAAGAAAATAGGCTGAATAAGAGATGTGAGTTCAACTAACTTACCAGATTCGGACTAACCACACATATAGAATCTGCCATTACTAATGTGTTGTTGAATAGTAGCACGCGCTCAGCACCTCTATCAGCTATCTCCACATGTATCACTTTCAGGACTTCTAATACAATAGGATCTGCCGACTTCGCCTGCTTAAAATGATGCCGCTCAATGGTGAAGCAAGAAAAGTTAAAGCATCATTTTCACCCAAGCAGAAGAAAAGCGAGGGAAGTTGGAAGCTTACGTTGCAACAAGAAGAGAGACTATGGCGAAGCGGGAGCACAATCACGCTTGGCTCCTTCTAAGGATGGGCATATGGTCGGTTCGGTTTGAACCGAACCAAAAATATGTATACCGGTACTCCAATTTCAGTCAAATGCCAAACCAATTCCAAACCGAATTATATTTCGATTCAGTTTGATCGAACCGAAATATCACTCGATTCGGAACGGAAAAGCCGAGTTCTGATCTTCTCTCGCTCTCTTTACTTCTTCTTTCACTAACAAAAGATACCTCAAAAAAATCCATTTTCTTTCTCTTCCTCCTCAGACCTCTCTCATTTTCTCCTCTTTCTCTTCTCTTCGCCACAACATCAGAGACAGAGATCCAGCTCCATTAGTCACCGACGTCTGTCCCGGCGAGTCCCTTCCTCTCCATTCGATAGCCACCCTTTACCCGTCCCACCTCCTCTCTCTCCTCTTCTTTTTCTCCCTCTCCTCATCCTTCTCTCTGCTTTACATCTGCATAAGTTTCAGAGGCAGATGCCTGAAGAAGATCACTACAAAGCTATCATATCGAAAAAAGGGTCTTCCCCGTGTAACTTGTCCAACCCCTTCTTCTTCTTCTTCTTCTTCTTCTTCTTCTTCTTCTTCTTCTTCTTCTTCTTCTTGGATTTAGATCCATGTGGGTCTTTTAAGTTTGGAATTAGATTTATGGTCTCGTGGAGCTCGATCGAGGACGAAAGGGGGAGGGGTGATGGAGATTGAAAACGAAAGGGGAATGGCGCCACCGCCGCTTCAGTCGTGCACGGCAAGAGCAAATCCATGTCCCTCCTCTTTGGTTAATTCGATTATGTGGTTTTTTAATTTGGATTTTTTCTAGGCTTTGCTAATTTGAGATTTTGCTTTTGGTTGATTTTCTGGGTTGAATCATGAATGGCAGGCGAGGAGAAGAGAACAGAGAGAAGGGGAATGACATCGGCGACCTCTCAAATAGGAAGCAGCGGGGAAGACGAGAGTCGCGGGGGCGAGAGATGAGAGGAGGATTCGGCGCGGCTGGCGAGTTGCATTGTCTTCTTCTCTGTTATGGTTAGGTTAGCACTAGCATTTAGCAGCAGACATGGATAGGAGTTGTGGGTTGAAAGAGATTTAATTTTGGGTTGTGTTTGATTTGGACCATGAGAGATTTGGGCTTTGTGTGAGGCTTGAGTAGTAAATTGGGTTGTAGGATTGTTGGTTGAGCTATTTGTTCGGAATTCGGTTCGGTCGTTCGGAATTCGGTTCGGTCATGCGTACCCTGATTTCCGAAATATAGGGTTTTGCCTTCCGAAATCCTAACCGAATAACAATAGTTCGGTTTAGTTCTATTTCGGTCCGGTTTGGGTTACCGAACCGGATGCCCACCCCTAGCTCCTTCTATGCCATGGCGTAACTCGGTTAGTCTCTCGTTCACTATTCAATTTGAACAGATGACGTGTTAATTACGAACGAGAAAAAGCGCACAGTGCTCGGGTCGGGTCATTAACCAACTCGGGTTCGGGCATAAAACACTTGCAGTCGCACTGTCGCAGCCAAACAGGCCCGTTGTCCGCTCCTCTGATCGATCGAGATTTAGCTTTCCCTAAAAAATCTGAATCTTGGCGCTCTATGTGAACGCTGCCATTGTTGTTGCTCTGTGAATGTTGATAATCTGAAATTCGGTTTGTTCTTTCTACATTTCCCGGCATCATCCGTCTTCAGATCGATAAGGAAAATGGAGCCGGACGTGAGCATCGAGACCTCGTGCATGATCCGGATCGCGGTGCTTCCAGTCGGTACAGTTCCGGCGAGCGTCTTGCGAGATTACTTCTCCATGTTTCTGCGGCACCACACGATTCCTCTCGCCGCGATTAGTTCTTTCTACACGGAGCACCAGAAATCCCCTTTTGCGCACCAGCCGTGGGATGCCGGATCGATTCGGTTCAAGTTCTTGCTCGGCGGAGCTCCGCCGAGCCCCTGGGAGGACTTCCAGTCCAACAGAAAGATTCTTGCCGTAATCGGAATCTGTCACTGCCCTTCCACGCCGGATCTCGATTCAGCGGTGGAGCAGTTCACCGCGGCGTGTAAGAATTACTCGTCGGCGCTGGTCCAGCGGTGCTTCGCATTCTGCCCTTGCGATTCTCAGCTCGAGGACGGCGGGAAGAAAGAGGATGTTCTGAGGCTGTTCCCTCCTGCCGACCACCAGACGCTGGATATCCATTTGCAGACGATGATGCAGGAAATCGCGGCGTCGTTGCTGATGGATTTTGAGAAGTGGGTGCTGAAGGCGGAATCGGCTGGAACTATACTCAAGACGCCTTTGGATTCTCAAGCCAGTCTCAGTTCAGAGGAGGTTTATGTTTAGGTGTCCTAAGTATTTTGAGATTCTGCTATTTTCCCAACTGAAGCTTTCCATATTCTGCCCTGCCATTGCAAATGCCCCCTTTATGGTTTTGATCTTCCTTCTCTCGTTTTTTCTTGTTCAATTACAGGTTTTAAAGGCGAAAAAGAGAAGACTTGGCCGTGCCCAGAAGACCATAGGGGACTACTGTTTGTTGGCTGGATCGCCAGTTGATGCTAGTGCTCATTATTCTACTGCATTAGAGCTAGCCAGATTGACTGGGGATTTCTTCTGGTATGCTGGCGCCTTGGAGGGTAGCGTGTGTGCTCTACTGGTATGTTTGTGGCTTAGAAAATCCAACTTATAGCTTGTAAGGAATCCAATTTTCTGGAAGCTGCCTTCAACTGAACCTGATTTCTGTTTCCTGTGTTTCGATATCCTCGACTTAGTTTGGTGTTTCAAAGCCTTTAAAGAATTATGAAAGCAAATCGAATGTTTCCTGGGTCATCCATGTTTGAAGTCTTTGGTCCTGGCTTTTCTGTAATTGGAAATCTGGGTTTCTCTTATATCTGGGAGAACCAGTTTGAAGGAATTCACATGCCCAAAAATCTTGTTATCGATTGCCCTACCGTTGAATGGCTAGGCTTAATTTATGCATCTGGATCATTGATTTGCTTCAGAAGTTCTGATCTTCAGTAATGTATTTCCTACTATCCAGATGGATCGAGTGGGCCATGTTGATGTAGTGTTAGAAGATGAAGTTAAGTATCAATACAATAATGTGATATTACATTATAGGAAGTCATTTATCCAAGACAATGCTCAGAGGTAATTCTTTCGTATCAGCTCATAGATAATCCTTTGCTCTTGCTGTTTCTCCTTATGTTTGATACAGTTGGCGTCAGTAGGTTATTGAAACATGTGCTCTATTCCTCTTCTTCACTTTCTCATTTTATGGCTGATGTCGATGTGTGCCACTTTGGCTACCAATTTATGTATGTTCTTGTTAGAAATCCCTCTCAAGGAATTTCCTTAATTTTCTAATAAAATTTGCACATTCATAGAAATATGACTGGTCAATTTTTGCAGAAATTCTTTTTGAGCCTCTAGTGCATTCGGATAGTGTAAATTCAAAAGATTTTTTTGGTAAATTAAGTGGCCAAGTGCCTGCAAAGACATAGATATATCATTTCTCAGCAATTCTTCCGTAATAGACGTAACTATGATATGGACTAAGAATATGTATCAAATGTAGTAAACCATATTCTAGTATATTTTTTTCTCTTTCAGGGTGAATGTGAACAAGTGTTGCTAATTAACTTCTAGTCTAATTGGTGACAGAGTGCAAATCTATGACAGTTACGAACTAGCCTGCTCCTCGGCATAAATGATTTTGGAGAAATATATAGATGGTGTTGAAAGAAGCAGCTTGTGCTTGCATTGCTTCTTCTTCGGTAGTAAACTATAAGTTCTTTGATGCCATTTCATTTCTGTGATGGAAGCACAAAGCAACAAGAGACATCACCAGGATATAGCTATCTAACGAGTTTCTTTCAAATTCTTCTCCATGACTGACTTGATTTTCTCTGTGTTTTGTGAGGTTAACTCTTGCATATGTATAATATTGACCACAATACTTCCAATATATCTTGCATGCAGAGTTTCTCCATTAAGCTTTGAACTTGAAGCTACTTTGAAATTAGCACGATTTCTCTGCAGGTAAGCATTTCCTTCTCCCTTCTTTTGTGAATATATGATGCATGTGTTAAATAGCTGTCTCTCTCTGTGAATGTGTAGTATCAAACTACATTTACATTATTTTCTGCATTTGTCATGCTCTTCTGCATGGACTTCCCCCCTGTTTTATGGAAGCTTAAGCATGGATTTGCTTGTAGTGGGACTGATGACACAGCATTTAAAAGTTCTTATCTTTGCAGAAGCAAGCTGTCTAAGGACGTTGTGGAGTTGCTGACCAATGCAGCAGATGGTGGAAAGTCATTGATTGATGTTAACGATAGACTTGTTCTATTTGTTGAAATTGCACGGTTATTTGGGACACTTGGTTACCAGAGGAAGGCTGCCTTTTTCTCAAGGCAGGTTGCACAATTGTATCTCCAACAAGACAATAAGTTTGCTGCTACAAGTGCCATGCAAGTTTTAGCAATGACTACAAAAGCTTATCGTGTTCAGAGCAAAGCATCTGTATCTGATCCTCCTTGTACTAAAGTGAGTCAGTAGAAAAAATAAACAAATGTTAGGATTCTATGTTACTCGGATGTGACGTCTGTGATTCTTTTACCTATGAGTCTTTAGCTGTCAAAATTCCTTGGTTTCAAGTTGTGTTACTTGGATTTCTTATATAGCTGATTGTTGTTAATATCGCAGAAGCAGACTGGGCCAAGTCATACTGATAGTGGGAAAATGCATCATCATTTGATTGTTTCATTATTTGAATCACAATGGAGCACACTGCAGATGGTTGTGCTCAGAGAGATACTGCTATCTGCTGTTCGAGCTGGTGATCCACTAACTGCATGGAGTGCCGCTGCCCGGCTGCTGAGACAATACTATCCTCTAATTACCCCTGCAGGACAGAATGGACTTGCTAGTGCACTTAATAATTCTGCTGAAAGATTGCCTTCTGGAACTCGTTCTGCTGATCCAGCTTTGCCATTTGTGAGGTATTTTTCCTGTACACATTTCGTCCTATATCTGTTTTAACTTTATCCAAATTCGGGGAGTGTATTTCAGTACTCCCACTTTGTTGCTTACTACTTCTATACTTTAAAAGTTACTATTTCCTGACTTATTTGATTTTATTGTTTTTGTTCAGGCTGCATTCTTTTCCTCTTCATCCATCTCAAATGGACATCATCAAGCGAAGCCCTGCTAGGGAAGATTGGTGGGCTGGCTCTGCTCCTTCAGGACCTTTTATCTATACTCCATTCAGCAAAGGGGAACCAAATGATAATAGCAAGCAGGAGCTGGTTTGGATTGTTGGAGAACCAGTCCAGGTTTTAGTTGAGCTTGCAAACCCCTGTGCCTTTGATCTTAGGGTCGATAGTATGTATCTCACAGTGCATTCTGGATCTTTTGATGCTTTCCCAATAAGCGTGGACCTTCCTCCTAACTCGTCAAAGGTCATCACCTTATCTGGAATCCCGACTTCTGTGGGGCCCATAACAATTCCTGGATGCACTGTTCACTGCTTTGGTGTTATTACAGAACACCATTTCAGGGACGTAGATAACTTGCTCCTTGGGGCAGCACAGGGGCTTGTGCTCTCTGATCCATTCAGGAGCTGTGGATCTGCAAAGTTGAGAAACATATCTGTGCCCAGTATCTCTGTCGTGCCGCCACTGCCATTGCTAGTCTCACACGTGGTTGGTGGAGATGGTGCAATAATTTTGTATGAAGGTGAGATACGTGATATCTGGATTAGCCTGGCGAATGCAGGAACTGTTCCAGTGGAGCAAGCACATATTTCCCTCTCTGGAAAGAACCAAGACTCAATCATCTCAATACCTTATGAGACCTTGAAATCTGTTCTTCCGTTGAAGCCTGGAGCAGAGGTCATTCTACCCCTGACTTTGAAAGCCTGGCAGCTCGGGCCTATGGATTTCGAGATTGGTGGTGGAAGGGCTGCAACCTCTGGAAGCACAGGAAGGCAGTTTAAGGATGCTAGTGTTCCTACTTTGTTGATCCATTATGCAGGTATTACCTTTATCTTTATGCATGCTAGTCCACATCTAGCTGACATCTACCTGTTTGTCATATTTCTTGACGTGACAGCATAGTATTCGTCTAGGTATCATTTTGATATCTTAGATTGCAGCCTCCCATTGACTTGATACATTGCTTATTCATAATCAAACAGTAATTATTTCTGCTAGAATTGCTATGTACGTATTCGATTTTCTATTCATTCATCATCTGGCCTGGTCCAGTCGTCAGTCGACCCAATCATGTACTTTTGGGCAAAGGTCCAAGTTCGATTACTAAAAGTGAATACTTCATGACTAATATTGCAACATTATGCCTACACTCTGGCTTTTCAAACTGCGATCTCAGTTGGTAGTTCTTTTTCTCGCTCATTCTTTATCTCTATGCTAACTCTTTTGTTCCTGCAGGGCCATCAACAGATTCAGAAGATGCTACTATTGCAAAAGGATCTAGTTTGCCTCCTGGAAGACGCTTAGTTCTCCCACTGCACGTTTGCGTATTGCCGGGTATGTCACTCGTAAAGGCTCGTTTGCTTTCAATGGAAATTCCTGCACATATTGGAGATGGTCATCCTAAACCAGTGCACGAAGAGGAAGATCCTGCCTCAGAAACAGTGGAAGAATCTGACAGAAAGATGGAGAAAAGATTGGTAAAGATCGATCCCTACAGAGGCAGCTGGGGATTGCGTTTCCTAGAACTGGAACTGTCTAATCCAACCGACGTAGTGTTTGAGATTGGAGTCTCTGTCCAGCTGGATGGCTCTGACGATAATAACCTTTCCATCGATCAAGATGGTAACAGTGAATATGGCTATCCAAAAACTAGGATCGACCGGGACTATTCCGCAAGGGTTCTAATACCGCTGGAGCATTTCAAACTGCCTGTCCTCGATGATTCCTTCTTCATGAAGGAATTCTGCAACGAGGGTTCCACTAGCAGCAGTAGAAGTCCGAGCTTCTCCGAGAAAAACACAAAAGCTGAACTTAATGCTTCGATCAAAAGCCTGATCTCAAGAATAAAGGTGAGGTGGCAATCGGGAAGGAACAGCTCGGGGGAACTGAATATTAAGGACGCCGTGTACACTGCACTTCAGACGTCAGTCATGGATGTCCTGCTTCCTGATCCATTGACATTTGGGTTTAGGCTTACCCGGGATAACAGTTCGCCCCAACAAGAATCTGGCTCCAAAGATTCCGTGTTGGCAAATGACATGGCCCCAATGGAAGTTCTGGTTCGGAATAATACGAAAGAAATGATCAAGATGAGCCTGGGGATCTCATGTAGGGATGTAGCTGGTGAAAACTGCATCGAAGGTGGAAAGTCTACTGTTCTGTGGGCTGGTGAGTTTACTGTTTTTCCCCTTCCCCACTGGGATTGCTCATGTTTCCTCACCTATACAAACAAACCCTAAATCTGTTTTGTGATCAAACTCTGCAGGTGTTTTGAATGGGATAACAATGGAGGTTCCGCCGCTCCAAGAATCGAAGCATTCGTTTTCGCTCTACTTCTTGGTGCCAGGGGAGTACACATTGGTAGCTGCAGCAGTGATTGAAGATGCTAATGACGTTCTCAGAGCTCGTGCCAAGACTGATTCACCAGACGAGCCTATCTATTGTCGAGGGCCGCCTTTTCATGTCCGCGTCCTGGGAAGGGCATGATACTGAAAACTGTTGGAGGTGGACGCAGCTAGAATGACGGACCTTTCTCCTAGTTTCTTTGTGACCCTTAATGATCTGTAGAGTGGTTTGGGTTTCCTTGGTTTGGTGCTAAGAGTCGGTCTTGGCTTCTAGCCTTTTTTGTATGTCACGGTTGGTTTTGTATATGTACCATCTGGTGTTATACTGAACAATGATTTCCTTGCTCTCTGTACAAGGCAACCACTAGGAGAGTCGGGAGCATTCGCCCGAGCAACAACAACGAATATGACGAAAGATCAAACAGGTCCATGGCGCGTCGAAAATTATTTACGAATGATTTATCGCAGTGGATTGCATTTTGTCATAGCGAAAAATCACAGTGAAACGTACAATTTATCACAGTGAATTGTTTTTCGTCGTAGTGTTTCTCCACCGTCCACTCGGGGATTGCTCGAAAAAGCTAGGCCAAAATCCAAGATGGTTAACTACCCTTTTGATATCAGAAAATAAGAGAAATACCCTAGTAGGGCAAGAAGATCCACAATGAACTCAGAATCTGAATTTCCAACCTTCCCTCGAGCTTTCGGAGTGCAATAAGCCTTCCCATTACATATGACAGCTCAGGGATCTCTTCGTACACCAAGTCGTAAATAAAATAATCAATTTGATCGAATTGTTAAGAGATGTTCAATAATGAATCTTATATAGTTCGTTATGTACGTATGATTATAAGGTAGTACGAGAAACAATAGATACGAATAGATCTATTATATCTCTACATTTCCTCGTCAATATTACAATTCCAATTGAGACACCTTCTGTAATACAAACTACAACGATTTAATCCCTTTATTCAAAGCCAAGAATTTTCTCATTATTTATGTATAATTACGAATAAACAACTTGTATCGCTCTTCATTCTGCAAGGCTTCACTCCAGCTTCACCATTTGAGCTTTGCCGGAAAATACTGCAAAAAAAAATTACAGAGAAACAGAGGTCTTAGGTACCATAAACTGTTGGGAGTGAAGATTAGGATGTAATTTAATAATTAATCACCTTCTCAATGAGGGACTGATAATACGGTTTAACCTCTTCCACGTTAATTGGAACCTTGCTCTTGCTGTACAGGTCGTATTTGCTGTTCATAATGTGGGGAAAACGATAAAGTTAGTGAGCTAATGATGATCCGGAATTCGTAATTAAGCAATATTGAGGCATATATAATTACTTGAATATGTTGAGCCATTTCAGGTTCTCCCTGTCTTCGTCGTTCATCAAGTATCTGTACGCCTCGCCTTTGTGCAGCGCTGCACATTTTAAACATGAGATCAATTATCAACTAAATTCGAAACACGTTTTTCAATTTCACGTTTAAAAATGTATAATTTTTTGTTAGGACAGGTCCTTACGGTAAAATGAATGGTAACGGATGATGAACAATCCTGCCGATGGCAAAGTGGTGTCATTTTCTTTTGCGACCTGTAACATTAAATTATCGTCCAATCTTCTCATATTAACATTAAACGATACGATGAGAGAAAAAATAATACAACATATGTGTATGTGTACACGTACCAAATACATGTAGTCATCATGGCCCCAAGTCATCATCACATTGTTAAGGCCACACCCTTCACTATAGACACCAAATTTGGTATTGTATTCTGGATTCTTGTAGTCTGGATTCTCCGTGAAAAGCTGCAATAATGAACCAAAAACTTATTGTTTACTAATTTTCTATACATTATAGTCAAAATAAATAAGAAAATTATAAGAATAGTTTTGTGCATAACCTTGTGGTGAACAATGGTCTCACTGAAACCACATCCGACCGGATATGTATCACCTGCAAATAGAAAGAACCATCAAAATTCCGTTTTCGTACAAAAACTCTGATGTCGTCCTGATTGAAATCGCTGAATCGCACAATCCAACGACATCATCTCATGTCGAATTGCGGGGGGTTGACTTACCAACAACAGCCCACTGAGGCAACCCTCCAAAGTTGGGATGGATCAGAATCTTCCCCAGATCTGATATATCGACAGATTAGTTAATGAGATAATGGTAATCAAATTTGGAGGTAGGATAATTAACGTTTAGGGTTTAATTAGGGTACAACCATGGATGAGAGCAGTCAGGTGAAGCCAATCCTCATTAGGGTAGTCCTTCCTAATGGCTTCAGCAGTTTGCAGCAAGTGCATGATCTGGGGTTCGTCAAGATCAGGATCACTGTCGTCCACTATGTCGTTCAAAACCTCACAGCATTCCCAAATGCTCATCTCTCCCTTCTCCAGTTTCCCATACTCCTCCCTCATCTTCTTTACCTGTATAGATGTTATATTGGTTCATCACGATTCGCATTTCGATTCGTTCACCTCGTGGCTCGATTTAGCTAGTTAGGGTTCTTACGAATTCGAAAGTTTGATGGACGTGTTGCTGACGGTAGAGCTCCTCGACAAGCCGATGCCTTTCGTTGTTCGCGTTCTCGTAATCCCTAAAAACACAAACAAACAAAATTGTCATTAATTATGCTCCATCGTAGCTACTTAAACCCAGTTAAATGTTTTTATTTTTTGTTCTTTTAAATTTTGACCTGAACGATCGTCCGAATGCATTTTCTTCCGGTACCGTGAATTCGCCGCTAGCCACCAGCTTATCGGCTTCAATATCAATCAACTTTATCTTCTTCTCGGCTTCAAACCCTACATAGACATATGTTATTCTTTTACATCCGGATTCACATTTTTACCAAACAGTTACTTGATTCAATAGGAGATAAATAAGCAAGGATGAACAAGATTTCAAGGAGAACAATATCAATATATTTACATACCAAGGGTAGGCTGCTCAACGACGACTGATTTGATCGTCATTTTTTCTCGTTGACACGTAAACTACTCTCAGTAAATAAAATAACTCGGGACGATGCGATTAAAAGATATGAAAGAGAGAAAGGAAATAATTGATGTTCAAGGTGCTTGTAGTTTGAGACATGAAAGGGGGAATCCAGGATATTTATACTCCGATTCCCCCTTCTCTTGAAGCTCTGAACTGTCCTTGTTCTTCAATTCTTCAACTTTGGGGGTCCTTGGAAACTAATAATTGAAACAAACTTGTACTTAAACCAATTCTATCCTCAATGACTAGGATTGGATACGTTGCCTAATCATAGTAATTAATGCATAACCATCATTCTTTCTTTTGTTTTTTGGTTACTGAACAACTGAGGGAAACAAGTAGAACGTTTTAGTTGGATAACAGCTGCAATTCTAATATAATATTACTGGGAAGCCAAGGTGATTAAATTTTTTTACTTCTTTTTTTGGGGTTGCTGGAGGCGTTTTGGACATATTTGGATAATTAGTTTCCAATTGGATGAATTGAATTGGGGTGAGTCAGCATTGCGTGTAGAATTGATCAGTAGATGTTTTCTTGTCTTTATGGATAGGGTACTTAAGAACGTTCATAATGATACTATATTTGCTTAACGCAAGGCAAGCGTATTTGTTAAGGCTATATTAGATTTGGATTATGTTTTGAGATGCAATTTGGTCATATTGCTACATTGAGATCATAAGGTTTTGTTCATCCAAAATAATAATCTTCAACTACATGCCTAGATCAGCCCGGTTACAAAAAAAAAAAAAAAATGTTACTACATTAATCACACACAATCAGAAGAACGTGAGTCACTGTAGGCATGTTGTCACATACGCACTGTGAGCCCAATCGCAACTATAAGCCAAATTGGAGCAAGCCTTGTATCAGATCCATGTTGGTCAGCTTGTGGGCCAGTGTGGCAGAACCTTGCCTTGTGCCTGATTTTCCTATTGGGCCGAGGCTTATTATTAGGCCTTACGTTTATGGTCCTTAGTGAGAGGTGGGTTTCTAATATGGATCGATCAGGTCCATGACAAATATTACTACTGGGTCAAACTATCTCTGTTCTCCACCACATTCAACGATGTAGCTAAATTTCTAGAGAAATGTGTACATTACATTTCCTTTTAGTTATTAACTAACTAATTAATTAATCATTAGCAGATCTTGAGACAGCTGGTTGATGATTATGATCCTTTCCTTTTGGCTGATGAACTGTATCCTATTAACCAGAGGGGGAGAAAAATAAAGAATTATGACAACTAATATTGCAACAGCTGATTATTTTCCAGATGTCTCACTTTTCGTACAACTAATTCCGGATCTGCGCAGCTTTCAATGCAATTATTAACGTTTTGATTTGGTTGAGAGAAGAAGTAAAAAAGCTAGCTGTTTTGTCTCTTATAAGCTTGCAAGATTTGAACCTGGAATAATGTCAGGCATCATTAATCAAGGGGGAAATTTGTTTTACAATAGCTACCTTTGTTGCTGGTGCTAATTCCTCTGGGATTTGGAATTCTATTTACTACTTACTCACTCACCAAATTACGTATAGATATTGAGGTATTTTAGTTCACATTAATGCTTTTTTTTTTACTTGTACAAAGAGTTGACTTGATCAATTTTTTTTCTTCAATAATTACTTGATTAAAATTTTGGTTGGAGGAAATCAATGAATTTTTAAGGATATTAGGCATATGACGCGAATAGTATAGTTTCAAAATCAGTCACATGTGGTTGTAAATTGACTGCCAACATTTTGAGGGACAGGTTACGGTGATTACTACAAATTTTAGATAAATTGTATTAATTAATTTTTTATTAATAAATTGTATTAATTAATTTTTTAGATAAATTTTATTTTAGGTAGTTACAAAAATCTATGAATTACAAGTCTCTCTCTTTCTCTCACTTTCATAATCTCCAGCCATACCCCCTTCCTTATTTTTCCCAATCTTTCTGCAAAAAAAAAAAAAAATGAAATCACTACCAATCCATTAGACAATCACTACAACTTTGAAAAACATCAATACCATCACAGAAGTAAATCTATATCATTACACGAAAACTACCAATATAAATCTATATCATTTCACAAAAAATCAATATCATTGCATATTAATCAATACCGGTACATACAAATTACTACCATTACATGATAATCAATACCAATGCGGCAAAAATAATACCAATGCAACTAAATCAATACCAATTCTACAAAAACAATACCATTGAGGCGAGAGGGTCAGAGATAAAAGGATGGCCAGCATCGTCGATTGTTTTGACGACCTCCACGGTCCATATCGCTTGTCCATCGGCTCCTTACTGTTGCCGAGGAGAGAGAGAGAGAGAGAGAGAGAGAGAGAGAGAGAGAGAGAGAGAGAGAGAGAGAGAGAGAGAGAGAGAGAGGAAGAAGGCGTGGAGGAGGAAGGAGGGAGGGACGGTGTGGGAGGGGGTGGGGTGGTTAGGGGAGATAGGGAGGGACGGTGTGGGAGGGTGGTGTGGGGACGGTGGGGGGAGGGGAGAAGGCGGGAGGCTGGGGAGAAGAAGAGTTGTCGCCGGGTGGGAGGGGAGAAGAGGGAGGAGGCGGCTGCAGTTTCTTGTTCGGAGAAGAAGGGCCGCCGGCAGGCTGAAGGGGAGGAGAGGGAGGAGGCGTTTGTATTAGGGTTTGCGGTACAATATATAAAAATAATTTTTTAAAGAATAGTAATCAGGTGTGGCATTATTTTCGTTTCCAAAATTATCCTTCATATAATCTTCACCGTCAACTTAAAAATAGGATGAAATATATATAATTAAGGGTGTAGATGTTAGTAGCAACCGTGGTTACTCAAAATTTAGTAACCACTCTAACGCATTCCACATTTTGAGTTGGCGAATGTTTATGATATTGATGTACATTGTGATCAGCGTCATTCGTGTTTGTCATTATAGCTACTATTCATAGAAGAGATTGAAAGTATATGAAGTCATCTATTTCCACCACTTACGAATTAATCTAACGAAGCAAAAATGTGGACCCGAAAATCACTACGGCAGAATTTGATTCGCATGGATCATTAACTTGGTGTCATGTACAAAGACTTACATCCGAGGAGGAAGGTAAAAAAAAATAGTAAAAAAAATAGTGGAAATCACTAATATTCATAAAAAAATACTCATGATGCAGATTCACGTGTGAAGCAGCTGTGAGACGGCGGCCGGAGCCGCATAACTCGCCGAAAATCCCGGGTACCCGCAGTCGTCGTGGGCGGTACCCACACCGTCGTCGAAGTTCAGCGCGTCGTACTGAAACTGCACCTTCGACGACCTCCTGATGGTGTCGCTGAATCGCCGGATGAAGTTCTTCCACCTGGGCCCCGCAACCACCTCCGACACCTCATGCGCCTTCTTCAGCTTCTCCACCTCCCGCCGCCTCCCACCGCCGCGGGGCTCCTGGTCTTGGTTGACCTGCAGCAGGTAGGCGTGGGATCGGCGACCGAAGCAGTGCGCGGGGAGGCAGAAGAAGAAGGAGGAGGGGGAGGCGGTGCCGGTCACCGGAATATGCTTTTCGTCGTCGGAATATGCTTTTTTGTCGTCGGAATATGCCACTGTCGCCGGAATATGCTCACCGTGGTCGGAATATGCTTACCGACATCGGAATCTAGTCATCAGCGCCGAAATATGCCTATCGGCGCCGGAATCCGGTCACTGACGGTCGTTGGAGTTTGGTCAACCACCACCGGATATAAAGGTTTGCATTGTGAGATTTATGGTTTGGTTTCTTGTATTTTTTTATGCTATTTGTGGTTTGCTTTATCGTGTTTGTGGTTTACATTGAGAAGTTTCTGGTTTGCTTTCAAAAATATTGTGGTTTGCATTGTGAAATTTCTGGTTTGTTTAGTATATTTGTGGGCTGCATTAGGACGTTTATGGTTTGCTTTTTTGTGGTTTGATTTACTGTGTTTGTGGTTTGCATTATGAGGTTTCTGGTGTGCTTTCGCAAATGTTGTGGTTTGCATTGTGGGGTTTCTAGTTTGTTTTAGGAGATTTTTGGTATGCATTAGGAGGTTTCTGGTTTGCATTAAGAAGTTTCTGGTGTGCTTTTGAAACTTCTGTGGTGTGCTTTGAGAGGTTTCTGGTTTGTTTTAATATATTTGTGGTCTACATTAGGACGTTTTTAGTTTGTTTTACCGTGTTTGTGGTTTGCATTAGGGAGTTTCTGGTGTGCTTTTCAATATATTTATGGTTTGCTTTGTGATATTTCTGATTTGTTTTAATATATCATCAATTCCATCGGTTCACTGCCATTCAAAACACAACACAACACATTCTGGTTAACAGAACCGTTTCCATTCTGCACAGAACATAGCAAAAAAAAGAAAGAAAAACAGGGGCCGCCGGGGCTCAACATGGTTGCTGATTGGTTTAGTCATAAGCCTTTGTGGACGATCTCTTCCTGAATTCCCACTAAAACTTCTCTCCATTTCCGCATTGTTGTTCGCCTCAGATGTGTTGTCGCTTCCAAGAGCTTTTGTGTTGGTGTTGTGCACTTACAAGACGCATGATAGCTATGAAGAGGCTGAAAATGGCCTGTATGCTCCATTGAATGGCTGCAATGGTGTAGAAAAAGATGAACTCACTACTCTGTTTGCAAAAGCAGGAATCGTTGGCACCTTGTCATTCTGGTGGCTGAATCTGCTCATGAAAATCGGCCGAGAGAAGACGCTGGAGGAAACTGACATCCCAAAGTTGCGGCATGCTGATCGAGCAGAGACTTGCTACATAGACTTCCTCGAACAACTTAGCAACGAAAAGCCATCTCAACACCAACCAGAAATCCCCTACTCCAATCGACCTAATTTAGTCGGCGATTTCAATTTCCTCTTCCATTCTCTCGATCCCGCAGTCGATGGTGAAGTCGATTCTGGGATCCTCCTCCTCCAACATCAACCGCACTACCGCCGTGAAAAACTGCGTCGAAGTCCTGGCCAACTCGCAGCATCGCATCCAGTCCACCGCAGCCGGAGAAGCCCTCGGCTGTGGGGGAGGAGGAATCAAGACGCGCGGGCGTGAAGAGAAGATCGAGATTCATCTAGAAATTGGGATATTTTTATTTAATTTT